TTCTCCACATGAAATCTATTACTTTCCTTAAAACCCTCCAATGGCTTTCCTCACACACAAAAATTCATACTGACTTCTGGGGCTTAGCAGACCCTTCAGTTTTTGGCAGGAGCTCATTAGACTTGCCTGAATTGGCCATCCACCAGGCATCCATTTTGAACTTCGGGCAAGTTCCCCAAGAACCTTATAGTCTTAGCACATTGTTTCCAGTGGGAGCCTTTATACCTGTGCTCTGCAAGCGCCTTTCCCAGCTCACCTCAGGCAACCTCTATGTAAGACTAATACTAATTTTCTCCCATTTGAATAGGTAATATATGCACAGGGTACACAATTTTAAAAATACCTATTAAAAAACAAGAAAAAGAAAACTTCTGGCTTGGTCCAGCCACTCATTTCATAAAATGAACATGGTATTTCACAAAAGGCAACAGGGTATACCAGTTTCTTGCCTATGTAAATTACAAATATTATCTTTATATATTGTTCCCCCACCCAAATGGTACTAAACCATTGAGATGACCAACTTCTAGAGAGCAACCCAGTATACAGCTATATTAGATGAAAGACCCATATTATATAATAAATAATTGTACACATGTGTGTTATTCCTTTAATATAACAATATAAAAATAGAATTTCATTTCAAATAGTTTTTCTGTATTATTTACTTTTCTGTTATATACATGCTATTATTTAAACAAATAATAGCACTAGTTAACAGTCCGCGATTAGTAATATTTAATTGCAGGACTAATTAAATAATATGTGTGAGAAAATATAACATTTTTTCATATTTCTGTTCTCTGTCCTAGCAATTTATTTTAAATCTTTTTCAATGTTTTAATTTATCTTTATTGTTGAAAGTATTACAGATGTATCTTTTTTCNGTTCTCTGTCCTAGCAATTTATTTTAAATCTTTTTCAATGTTTTAATTTATCTTTATTGTTGAAAGAATTACAGATGTATCTTTTTTCCCCCCATTGATCCCCTCCACCTGGCAACCCCCCTCCAGGCCTTCACCACACTATTGTCTGCGTCCATGAGTTATGCATATATGCATTATCAGTTCTGAGATTAATCTCTCCCCACCCACCCCAGCCTCCCCTCTGAGATTCGTCAGTCTGTTCCATGCTTCTATGTCTCTGGATCTATTTTGTTCATCGGTTTATTTTGTTCATTAGATTCCACATATGAGTAAGATCATGTGATACTTGTCTTTCTCTGACTGGCTTATTTCGCTTAGCATAATACTCTCCAGGTCTCACGATGCTGTCTCGAAGGGTAAGGGATCCTTCTTTTTTACAGCTGTGTAGTATTCCATGGTGTAAATGTCCAAGAAGATGGTTGATATGATTTCAGTCTTCTTGAACTTGTAGATTGTAGAGACTTGTTTTGTGTCCTAACCTGTGGTCTATCTTTGAGAATGTCCCATGCACACTTGAGGAGAATGCATATTCTGCAGCTTTGGGGTAAAATGGTCTGTAAATGTCTGTTAAATCCATCTGATCTAGTGTGTCATTTAGAGTCACTGTTTCCTTATTGACTTTTTGTCTGGAAGATCTATCCAGTGAAGTCAGTGGGGTGTTCAAGTCCACAACTATGACTGTATTGCTGTTGATCTCTCNTTACTATGTCTGTATTGCTGCCGATCTCTTTCTTAAAGCCCCCCAGAAGTTTGTTTTGTTTTGTTTTGTATGACAGCTCCTCTGTATGTAACAGATTGCTTTTCTCTTGCTGCCTTTAAGATTCTCTCTTTGTCTTGAATTTTTGGCATTTTAATTATGATNGTATGACAGCTCCTCTGTATGTAACAGATTGCTTTTCTCTTGCTGCCTTTAAGATTCTCTCTTTGTCTTGAATTTTTGGCATTTTAATGATGATGTGTCTGGGCATGGGCCTCTTTGGGATTTTCTTGCTTGGGACTCTCTGTGCCTCCTGAGCTTGTGTGTCTTTCCCCTTCACCAGGTTAGGGAAGTTTTCTACCATTATTTATTCAAACAGGTTCACCATCCCTTGGTTACTTTCTACATCTTCTGGCACTCTTATGATGCAAATATTGTTATGTTTCATCTTGTCCTACAGCTCCCTTAAACTGTCTTACTGTTTTTAAATTGTTTTTGAGTCTCTGAGTGATTTTTTCTTACCCTGCCTTCTAATTTGCTGACTTGATCCTCAGCTTCCTCAATCTTCTGTTTAGTCCAATGTATTTTTTTATTTCTACTATGTGATTCTTAATTTCCTACATAGTTTCCATTTCTTTTCTCATGCTATTGAGAATCCTTATGGTCAGTATTCTGAACTCTGTATCTGATAGATTGCTTATCTCCATTTCATTTATCTTTTCTTCTTGAGAATTCTCTTGTTCTTTCATTTGGGGCTTTTTTTTTGGTCTCCTCATTTTTGCTGCCTGTTTGGGGTTGTTTCTATGTATTAGTTAGATCTGCTAGGACTCCCAGTCTTTTGGATGGTTTTGGTGCAAGCCAATATCAGATGCTGTTTGTGACTGGCCTTGGGTACCCTGTTTGAAGCTTTCCACAATCCATATCCTGAGGCTCCCTCTGCTGGGGCTGGGTGTGTTTGGAAAGGACAAAGAAGTGCACCAAGGTCTGCTTTTCTAAGTCCAGGGTCCAGAAGCAAATCAGGCAAAGACTCAAAGTGTCCAGAGGCTGATTGTTATTCACAGTCTCTTAATGAGCCTCAGGTTATAGAAACTCCGCAAGATGGGGCCTGGCGCGAGAGGTTTTCCAACAGGGTGGGGCAATTACTTCCACACAAGGCAAAAATTGCCTGGATAATAAATGTCTGCCTGAGAAAGATGTCCTTTGCCTTATGAGGGAATGGCTCAGCAGAGGAGTCCTGATGGAGGCCCTCTGAGCTTTCTCTCCAGAGCCCGCAACCCTGGATTCTCCTCACAACTGCTCTAGTCCACTCTGCCCTTCTCTACTAGAGCCCAAGGTGAGTGACTGCACATGAATCTTTGTGCATTAGTCCTTTAAGTGGGTGCCTGCAATTCCAGCCATCTCTAACTGGTAAACAGAAACCTCACTGCTTTTCACAGCTAGATGTTATGTGGGCACCTTTCTCAGTTCTGGTGCTCTGGGCTTGGAAGTCCTGCTTGGGGCTTAAGCCCCAGAGTTCTCAGTGGGAACCCCCCTGCCCCGACAAACACACAGCTGAGATAGCCCTCCGGAACTCCAGCTGCTGCCTATGGGCACCCAGCCAGCCCTCTCGGGCCTCCACAAGTCCCACTTCCTTCTGGTCTCTATGTGGTCTCTACTTTTCCTCCTTGGTTATGAGGGTGCTCTCCAGCTAGTCTTCAGTTGCAGTTGGTTATTCAGGATGGCTTTTCTATGTTTAGTTGTAATTCCAGTTTGGTCTTGGGAGAGTGTCAGTGTAGATTCCACTAAATCTGCCTCCATCTTGGAATCTCTAATTGATACTCTTCTTATCTCGAGCAACAGTTGGTGAAAATCCTGTTATCATGGATTTAAGTTCTGTGATCTGATGTCCTCTGTCCTTGGACAAAAGGGGGAATGAAGGAACCACCACCAACAACAACATAAAAGCATTCTCTGACATCCAGGAACTGGTTTGATACAGTTAGGCCTCAGTGTTGTTAGAAGCTTGCCTGGTGCTCATAGCTAGGCCATGTTTTTCTCCTGTTGGACATAAACAATCTCAAGGAACACCATCAGGCAGTCACTATGGGACCATGATAAAGTGAGACAAAACAAGGCCACTTCATAACTTTGTCTAAGCACAGACAAAAACAAGGTCACTGTGACCCATAAAATACCAAATATCTCCCTTACTCAAATACCATAAGTAACTACTACTTCTTTACCAATTACAGCTTTACCTTTGTTGTAAGTGTTCTTTCCCTGTAGATAAGATTTATTGTGATACCCAATCATTGAGTTGCCCATA